GAACTTTTGGCATAATAAATATAAATCTAAAAATGCCTTAACTTATTGCAAATTCAGTTGCATTTTTGTAAGCTATGAATATTATATCATGTGACTCAACAAGTTACTTTCTTCTTAATTTATTTGAAACTATAAAAAGGTTATCCATCTTAACAGTATGGGTAAAGTCTATTGTAAGCATTAGTCAAATTTAATATTTACTATAGTTTGTCAAATATAGAGCTATATTAGGAGAAAAAAGGGCACTTAGATATGGTCAATCAATTTTTGTTAACACTATCAAAATAAGGTCAATAAACATGACTTTTTGTGGGAAGTTGTTTTGGATTTGACACTTTGATGCAAAATTATTTTGACTAACATTTCTTAGATAATTCAGATACTGGATGGCCATAATTTTAAACCACTGATTATACAGTATATGTTTTGCTACATGATTGATTCTCAGAGTTCTCAGAGTCTAGATCAAAGCTCTAGAAGGTTTAATTTTTTTCCCACTGACTTTTAATTCCAAAATAATTATTTGTTGTTTCTTGCCAAAAAGTTTACCTAAAACATTTATGTTCATAGGAAACATATGATAAAATATATTTGCTTTTTGCTTCCCTTGTGCTTATTTGTGTTGTATAGAGCGCTGATATATTTTCTTATAAGGGCCTCAGGATGGAAATTGGTCAATGAAACATGAGTTTGAAGACAATGGATTAAATAGTGGAAGTCTATTGCATTTTTTTTAAAAAAACAGGACCTAAATGATATGTTTTATTTTGGTATCATGCTCACTTGTTTGCTGGCATTATTTGACATTGGTCATGCAAAGAATAACTCAAGAACACTTAATAGAAATTAATAAACTTTACTTTTGTGGAATGAAAAAATGTATCTAAAGGAGGAAAATGAAGAACACTGAAAAAGAACCTATAAATCCTGAAAATGTATCTTAAGTGATATATTACATTTACAGAGTTATTTACAATACTTATCACAATGGGTGGGCAACATTATATGCTAAGGGAAAAAGATTAATAATGTATGGTCTTAATTGTCAAAAAATACATCATATGATTTTACTTTTGAATTTGTAGTCTCTAACCTGGCACTCACTTTACTTCACTTTCACTTTATTTTTTGCACCAATTGGAGGGTTGAGTTTGGCTTAGCAGCAAGACAACCAGTTTAAATTTCAAACAATCCCTAGACTAACTGGGTTTCTTCTGAGAGATAAAAGTGTATTGAAGAGTTCAACAAGATAGTGGGAACTCAAAATTTTTTTTCAACAATATCCTGACTAACCTTAAAGAGAACATTAAAATAAATAGCAAAACTGAAGGTATTCAAACTTGTGTTAAAAGACATCTCAAGCTAGTGAGGGGAAAAAAAAAAAAAAAACAACTTTTTATCATTTTGAAAGTGTAAAACTTTTTATGTATTATTGTTTTACCAATTAGCCTACATATTTTAACATATTTATGGGATTATAATAACAATTAAAATTTAAAATAGCTAATATTATTTGAGTATCCAATATCTTATAGACTTTGCAGTTTGTATTGTATTCAATATACCATTTACTTGTTACAACAATCTATATATCAGATATTTTTGTCAAACTGTCCATTTTATGAATGACAAAGTTAAGGTTTAGAGAGTCTAGTGTATAACAATAAATGGGAGAAAAGATAAGTCATTTATACATGCACATACACACATAGGTAGATGGATAGATGTTGTATATGTGTATATATCTATACATATAATTAGCTATATATACACACATACATATATATATCATTTGACTTTTCAATATGTTAATATTGTATTGAAATTCATTATACATTTATCAAGATAATACTATCCTTCATTTTAAAGCTAAAAAAAATGAGAGTCAAAAATATTAAATAACTGGTTGAATAGCACACAGTGTTAAGTTAGTAGGGTTAGAATCCAAGCTTATTCTCTTTCCAGATTGTCCCACTGCCTCTTCATCTAGGTCCCATTTATCTCTGTACTTCTTTAGTTCCTTCTCTCCTCGGTTTTCTCTAGGAATTTGCTATACAGAGATGAGATGGGTGTGACAGCATGTTTTAATCCTGCCATAACCGTATGTTTTGCTAGTCTGTATTAGAAAGGATTATGCTAAAATTTCTGTGACTTACAAAACAAAAGACAAGTGCTAACTTCTACTATTTGTCCTATATGTCTAAAAAATGGTATATACGTCTGGGAGACAAAGACTTACAGAAATATGAAATTCTGCAGCTGCATCATTAGGACATCAGATCTCCTTGATTGCCATGCCGGGAGTGAAAGCATGGGGTTTCATCAATGACATTTTCCACGTTCCAGAAGTGATAGATATCATGTGCCTCATATTCATTGGTCAGACTAGTTTCTGAACCAATCTCATATAGAAGTGGGCTAACAAGTATTGTCTTCCTTGTGCAGAAAGGTAATGAGAACTGGATATTGGTGAACACTAGTTATGTCTACCAGATCATCCTCAAAAAATGTCTTGCTCCTGACATGGGAATTCACAGGAGACAACGTCATCAAGGTCAGAAAAGGAAGACTTTGCATAGAAGATACAAGATGCATAAGGTTTTTGATTGAAGAGATGAGAGGTAAAATAAAAAGTAATATAAACTGTACACAGCATAAGATTGCCTCCCCAAAGGCAGAAAACAATCTCTCATCCCTATGCTGCAGCTTGAATGAAAAATAATGATACAATTTGCTACTTCTATGGATAAACAAAGAGACCTAGAAGATTGAAAGGCTCTTAAAAATAACCATTTGGGGGTATAATATTTTATAATGGCTCATGGCTTTTATAATTGTTTCTCACTGTGACTGAGAAAATCAAAGGAGTACATGCAAAGAAATACAAAGCAGCAACCAGAGTCAGCAATGACAGGCTCCCCACTGAGTGCCATAAGCTCCATTATCTTCTGTCATAGCAACTCCTCAATCAAAGGGAAATAGTGCACTGGAAGCAGGAGACCAGGAAAAATAAAACATACGCAAATTGGCTAAATTATAGCACAAACTACTACTGAAGAAACAGTTAAAGAATAATAGAAAAGAGCCGGTATTTTCTTACAATTTATTTTTTAAATTCTAGCAAAGATTACATCAATTTACTCTTTTACATGAGATAGTATGCGTTCTCTTAATAATCAAAGAGATGGCTTTTTATTTTTTTTCATTTGTAACAGGTATTTCAGAGTGTTCCTGCCAGTATTATAAACAGAAGTTTATAATATCAATCTGTTCTATTCTTGAGCCTTGCATTTACTGTACAATGCATGCAAAGTCACAGTTCTTTCATAAATATTTCATATAAGGTTTGTCGATGTGTGTTTTCACTTTAGAGTATATATTGATACATGATCTAATAGATGTGTTTCAACAAGAAAGACATAAGAGCACGTGCTTTGCTAATCCCTTCGTTAAGTGTCTTTTATCTAAAAATTAGCTTATTTTGTCTGCTGTGTATATGCTTATCTCATAACTATGGTTATAAACACCAGTTTTGTATTTGCCAAATATGCCAATGAACGATTAAAGTATAAATGAAAGAAAATATTCTTATTTCTGTTTTTTTATGGCACAGAAACATATCTTATTTTTTAACGTACTTTTAAAATAAACCTTGTCTGCCTTTTAAATCATGAAGATAATTGAGAATTTTCATTTCTCCATCTGATTTCTAAATTTTGCTAGTATTTTTTGAGTTGCATCATCTTTGCACTAAATCCAGGTGCTCTGTGTTAACTACTGTAATCTGAATGACCCAACTCTCTACAATAAAATAAATAAGAAGCCTAAGTATATATATTAATTATATATCATTCATATCTATAGCCCTATACATATTCATAAAAATGATGCCCTTATGATTTATTTCCTTTCTTAGTGTCTATAATTGTCCCATGTTCTAGTACAAATTAATTATTTTAATTTATGTTGTGTCATTGCAACATTTTATTCCTATTGTGCAAATATAAAAAGGAAAAAATCTTCTGTGCCCTGAGTCCAAATGAAAATCTCAAGCAACAAAAAAGTGAAGTGATTGGGAAAATAAAATCATTATGAACTGATCCCAACAGCATTTCATTTTCGTTAGTGTTCTATTAATTTAATACCATACCCCGATTTTAAGTTCTGACAAAGTTCTGTATTGCAGATCTCAGTATTAGGTTAATGTATGAATTGTACTGCACCACACATAAAAATGATGTAAATGTGGATGTGTAAGAATCGCCTGACAACTTGAAAAGTCTTTGTAATATTTTCAGAAAATATCCTAGATAAGCTATTATTGAATTATTTGATTTTTATAAATTACTTTTAATTATGGAAACAAACAGTAGTTTTCTCAAGCCTTAACACCATTGAAGATATTTACGTATCTCTGTTTAACAAATAGAACATGGTTTGTAATTCACGCCAATGATTGATATGAATTAGATTTTACGAGGTTTTCAGGCATTATGAAGAATTAAATAATTAAATATGCTTGAAAATTTTCTTAATTCAAGTTTTAAGTAGGTTTTACATAGTGTAAATATGGTCATAAAGAATTATAGTATTATTGGTAACACGCTTAATCCTCATTATATCTCACTATATCCCTCATTATAAAGTATGTACTGTGATTATTCCTATTTTCTAGATGACGAAATGGAGGAACTGAGAGGTTAAGTAACTTGCTTAAGGTTATTCAGCCCACTAGTTCAGACATGATTTAATCTTTAGGCTGGCTCTAGAGTCTGTACCCCTAATCGATATTATGAAGTGTCCGTTTTTTATTTACACCCTTTTAATTTTACTCTGGCATATTTTGATTTGGCTTCTTGCATCTATGGGACTTTTGGATAATGATAACTTATGTTTCTATATTTACAAAACATAAACAAACATAAAACATTACAAGTTATTGATTTCTATTTTGACTGGGATATACAATCTGTTACAAAGCAGAATATTAACTGGCTTACCTGCCCTCAAAGGAAGATTTCTTCTGTCTCTGAAATTTTTATGTTGCATCTAAGACTGTTTTTCTCTTGATAACACTAGGATGAGAAAGATGAAAATAGACTATAGCCAGAAGGTGTTACTGCTGTCTCTGCGACTATCTTTTTGCAACTTGAATTTTTCTCTCAGTTTTTTAATTTGTAATTCAATCTCTCCCATTTCATCTTGGCCCTTCCTAGTCTTCACAGAGTTCATTTACTTACTCATATCATTAGCTAACCACTGCAGTCATCTAAGTTTTTAGAAACTTAGATGAGTTTGGGCACATTCAGAGTGGCATGGCCACCAGTTTTTACAGATTTACAAGCTGCAGAGTACTTCTTAGGAAAGCTGAACACCTCTATTTCTTCCAAATTTATTAAAAAGTGTGATAGTGTGAAAAAGAGTTATACATAAATGTCTTAGCATTACTATATCTATGTTTTCATCCAGTTATTATGCTAATAGTAGCTTCATCAAATTCAAAGATTTTTATTACTGTTTTACTCAAGGAGAATAACTTTCAACACTTACTGCATATACCCTGTGCATACCCACACACAAACACACAATGCATATCTATTGTTTAACAGATTCAAAATAGATATAGTTAAAATCAACAATATTGCTTAGAAAAAATATCTGACATGTGGTAATCTATAATTAAATAATATCATTTTGAATATTGTTATTTTTATTATTGCTGTTTTTTATTGATCTTAATGATTCTGTTGATATGGTAAAGCCTATCTGAATGATTTAAACAATTATTGAAGGTAATACTGGAGGGAAACAGCTAGGTGATCTGGATAATTCACCTTTTCATTGCTAATGTTATAAACCTCATTTCATAAAATAACTACCAGTGTGAGCCACTATGAAGTACAGCATTCTTCTCTCTTGACTTACAAACCTCCACACCATATTTGAAACAGCAATTCTAGACCTCCCAAGTGAAATATGATTGGCCTACTGCAATACATTTCATAAAGAGGAACTCAAGTCACAAATTCGTCTAGGCATTTTTCCACTAAAGAATAAATAAGGCAGAAACTAGTTTGATTAGATTTTCTATCCTGCTTTCCTCCCCTCTATGTCTTTCTGTGATACAAATGTAAACTTGGGAAAAGTTGTTAGAACCTCATTAGCAGACTCCTCTGTATCTTTCAGTATATGTAAAGACTGTACATTTTCTTCTTTGGTAAAGTTTATTCAGTTTTGATTAGAACCACAATTAAGAAGCAAGCTAATGGTGGAAATGCAAATGTTGATTAACTTGTTTTGAAAACATTTCATTATAGTTGGACATGATAAATTTTAATGCATGATTAAAAATCATAAACCTCAACCAAGAACATATTTTTAAATAAGTGAAGACATATGTACAAAAGAAAAAGAAAAAAAAATCCTTTTAAGACCAAACTGTTCTTTAATGAGCTGCTACTCTTCAAGTGCACAAAGCTGTATCTTTGATTATTTAAATTCTACATATTCTTTGGTTTTTACACATTGGAGTTTCTCTTTCTGTTTTCTTGGAAATATACTTTTCATCTTTATTTTTAAAGTCACACCTTGTTCAATTTTACATATCACTGTACACTGAAATCTCTTTTTAATTAGCTGCTTAACTACATCTTTACCCTCCATTCCCTACTTGGCTCAATTTACCAATTTACCAGACTCTTCTTCCTGAAATACTCATTTGAGGGTCTGTTAACCAGTCTGATAAAGACACCCTTCTTCCCTTCTCAAATTCTCAACAAATTAAATAATAAGACAAAAACAAAAAGCAAATTGGATGACAAAATATCAATATACCAATAAAGACAATGTTGGAGAGTCTAATTAAATATGACTGATACCCAAACCCAAGAATTTGGCAAACTTACCAACCTAAAGCAGAGAAAGTTCTAAACTGGCCCAGACCCCAGGGAAGTGGCTTCATCCAGGAGGACCAGAGGGAGGTTAAAGGCAGGCTTATTAATGTGGGGCGGTAAACTTAAATATTATTTTTCAGCTTACCAATCAGTTAAACTCTGGGACTCCTGGGATAAAAAGAGTGAGGGAAGTTCATTCCTGATTTGGCTCTCTGTTTGTCTGTTACTGGTATATAAGAATGCTTGTGATTTTTGCACATTAATTTTGTATCCTGAGACTTTGCTGAAGTTGCTTATCAGCTTAAGGAGATTTTGGGCTGAGATAATGGGGTTTTCTAAATATACAATCATGTCATCTGCAAACAGGGACAATTTGACTTCTTCTTTTCCTAACTGAATACCCTTGATTTCTTTCTCTTGCCTGATTGCCCTAGCCAGAACTTCCAACACTATGTTGAATAGGAGTGGTGAGAGAGGGCATCCCTGTCTTGTGCCAGTTTTCAAGGGGAATGCTTCCAGTTTTTGCCCATTCAGTATGATATTGGCTGTGGGTTTGTCATAAATAGCTCTTATTATTTTGAGATACATTCCATCAATACTGAATTTATTGAGTTTTTAGCATGAAGGGCTGTTGAATTTTGTCAAAGACCTTTTCTGCATCTATTGAGATAATCATGTGGTTTTTGTCTTTGGTTCTGTTTATATGCTGGATTATGTTTATTGATTTGCATATGTTGAACCAGCCTTGCATCCCAAGGATGAAGCCCACTTGATCATGGTGGATAAGCTTTTTGATGTGCTGCTGGATTCAGTTTGCCACTATTTTATTGAGGATTTTTGCATCAATGTTCATCAGGAATATTGGTCTAAAATTCTCTTTTTTTGTTGTGTCTCTGCCAGGCTTTGTTATCAGGATGATGTTGGCCTCATAAAATGAGTTAGGGAGGATTCCCTCTTTTTCTATTGATTGGAATAGTTTCAGAATGAATGGTACCAGCTCCTCCTTGGCCATCAGAGAAATGCAAACCAAAACCACAATGAGATACCATCTCACACCAGTTAGAATGGCAATCATTAAAAAGTCAGGAAACAACAGATGCTGGAGAGGATGTGGAGAAACAGGAACACTTTTACACTGTTGGTGGGACTGTAAACTAGTTCAACCATTGTGGAAAACAGTGTGGCAATTCCTCAAGGATCTAGAACTAGAAATACCATGTGACCCAGCCATCCCATTACTGGGTATATACCCAAAGGATTATAAATCATGCTGCTATAAAGACACATGCACACGTATGTTTATTGTGGCACTATTCACAATAGCAAAGACTTGGAATCAACCCGAATGTGCATCAGTGACAGACTGGATTAAGAAAATGTGGCACGTATACACCATGGGATACTATGCAGCCATAAAAAAGGATGAGTTTGTGTCCTTTGTAGGGACATGGATGCAGCTGGAAACCATCATTCTCAGCAAACTATTGCAAGGACAAAAAACCAAACACCGCATGTTCTCACTCATAGGTAGGAATTGAACAATGAGATCACTTGGACTTAGGAAGGGGAACATCACATACCGGGGCCTATTATGGGGAGGGGGGAGGAGGGAGGGATGACAATGGGAGTTATACCTGATGTAAATGACGAGTCGATGGGTGCTGACGAGTTAATGGGTGCAGCACACCAACATGGCACAGGTATACTATGTAACAAACCTGCATGTTGTGCACAGGTACCCTAGAACTTAAAGTATAATAATATTAATTAAAAATAAATTAAAAAATAAAAAAGAGTGAGGGACAAGAAGAGGCCTTCCACATAGAAGACACCATCAGGAGTGGGGAAGAATATTTCTACTGACAGCTCCTTACATGATGCCACTGCCACTTAATAATTTATATTGCTTTTATATTTCATATCAAGCCCTATATTCACTGCATTTCAAGAAACTTTGTAAACTTTGACCTCTATCTCTTCACAACCCTATTCCCCAATTCCCTGTATTCTCCCATTAGTTTTGACTATTGCCAGTCCACATTATCTCTCACATATACCTAATTTACAAAGTCCCTTCCTTATGCTTCCCTATGAATCATAATGAATATTCTATCTGCTTTCCTTTATTTTCCAAATAACTATTTTAACCCATTCAACTTCTCAATTATTTTTTCTTTTGATCTTTTTTATTACTAAACTTCCAGTAGTTACATTTTGTCTTCCTCACTGAACAGTGAGGCCCTCAAAGTCACTGGTAATGCAACATAGCACCTAACACATAGTTGACATTAAGTACTATTGAAAAATAAAATATAAAACATTTTTTCCAAACTCAAAGTGCTGAACATTTTGGTGATTTTATTACTGTGTTTTTATAAAATTTTAAGTTGTAATACTGTTAGGTATGATGGATTAAGAAATACAATAAATTTTGTATACAGAACTTAATCTTAGATTTCCATGACATTTCTCATCATCAGATCAAACACAAATTATATTTAGGGCCAAAACAGAAGACATGGATTTTTTTTCTCATGGACAGCACAGTTAAGGGCAAGTTGGGGACAGGGCGTCATCAAAGAACATGGTTTGGCAGATTCAGAACTGGTGCTCTGCCTTTTGCCATGAAGCTTTCATGAAGAGAGCCATTCTGTGATGGACACGTTGAAGAAAAATTTATCTTCTCCCCTTTCACTAATAATTTCCTGATGAAAGAGAATAATGGAATAATAAGATAACATTCGAGGGATTTGGAAATTACTGATGAATTGAGAAAACTTACATACACTTAACACTGGGAGTTTTCTGAGTGCAAACACCACAAACATGCTTGTTGCTGTTGACTCCTGGAGGAAGAAAGATAGAGAAATGGCCAAGAAGAATAGTTAGATGAACTAGTAAATGTTTAACAGCCAGTTCTAGGGGTGGAGGTGAGGGAAATCTTACATGTAGCATTTGATAAAATTTTATCAGTGTAAATATGCCCACCATGGCTAATTTCAAGCTACCAATATGAGGTCAATAAACAGAGAAATGGGAAGAATGTCACATAACTGGCCCCAATAAGCCCATGTAAGTCGCTCCTGCACCAATCTGGCTTGGTGACTGGTGACAATTTTCACTTCAGGTTTCCTCTGGAGACAACTTTCATGTGGATTCCATTTTTAAATTTTTGATTGTGCAAACAGAAGGACTATGTGTTTAAATTTCCACAAAACCTACATGTCTGTATGC